TTATTTGCAAAAATATATGAACAGCAAATAAATGGAATGCCCTTTCGCAACAAAGTTTATTTAACAAAAGGATTAAAAATCGAAATTAATTAAACTTCAATTGATTTTAATTCTAAAAACAGTTGCAAATAGTCAATATTAGAATTGTTTTAATTATATGAGGAAATATGGAGAAAATAAAAAGAATACAAATAAAATATCTAATTAAGAAAGTAAACTGCGACAATGGGGATTAAAAATTATCTCGATCTAAGAGCATCTAAAGCTTTTACATTTATTATGAAAGCAGTGAAAAGCTACATTATTAAAAATGTAGTAACAAAATTTTTATTTAAACATTTATTTTGAATTGTTTATTAAATTTTAAACTAATTAATTATAATGAAAAATTACAAAAAAGTAAATTTTAAATAAAATGTAAATTAACTGTAAGTAAATAAGAAAATAAGTAAATGAATAATTGAAAAATTTGAAATAATCGAGTTAGGAAAATTATTTTGTCTATCAGTTTAAACTTCTACATATATTATTTGTAATGAAACTAAAATTAAACAGTTTATGAAAACAGTTTGAAAATAATGTCACATTTTAGTATTATACTTTGTATTTTATTGTATACACTTGGATTATTAAACACATTAAACAACATTTTCCTTTTATTCATTTTTTATTACTATATTCCCTTCCACCTAACGAAGTTTTATACGAAAATCCACAAACCAATAACAATACGATACATGGGTTCTATAAACAATGGAATTTCTAGTTTATACTCCAATGCACAAAAGCTTTTCACATACCTAAAATCGTAAATCTGAGGTTCTATTCTTGACAATGCTATTGAGTATATACTGTATAAATAATCGAAATTACCGCAAAAAAAAGGATCCATTATTTTTTTTTATTCTATGCAATATTTTACTCCAAAACTGAATCAAGCAGAAACCATTCTTTTTTTCAATAAAATTTTTGAAACGGAAACTATTTAAAACAGTTTTAGGAGCAGATAGCTGATACAATTTTATTGTTTACATATATACATGTTTTACAACTGTTGATTGGAAAACATTATTTTCAACTGTCAAGTGGCATTTTATCTATATGTAAACAAATTTTCCGACAGGAAACACAAGTTTTTCCTTACTTGGAAATTATAGAAAATATTCAAACGTAAGGAAGATAGGACAATGTACGAAAATAACAATTATGAAGATAAAAGCAACAAACTAACAAAATAATACAAATAATTTTGTAAACAATTGAGAACATGTGTTTTGTTAGAAAACTAAAAACCAGAAATAAGATCAAAGTCAACATAAAAAACGAATCAAAAGTCAAATTAAAAAATCATATCTTTAATGTTTAGTTAATAATTTTGAAAATAAATTTACTTCAAAAAAAAGTATTTCTCATTACAATATAAAAATTCTAAACATTTAGAGAGAGAATACTAAAACAGAAAATCAAGCAGTATTTTTTTAAAGATTATAATTATAAAAATTGACAATACACGCAGTTTTTCTAAGGATATCAAATTGAGACAAAAAACGTATCAAAAACAACAAAAATTCGCAACAATTTTGATACGTTTTTTGTCTCAATTTGATATCCTTAGAAAAGCGGTGTAACTGAATTATCTAAATTAACAATAACAACAACAAATAAACAGTTGTTTTTTAACTACCTTAAAAACGCAAAAAAAAAATACAAATAATGCACAATTTTTGTAATAAATTACTAATAACAATAATACCGTTTGATACAATAAATTATCAAACCACCTGTTTCTCACAAAACAGTCACTATCCAGATCACTTTAAAACAAATATAGCTATACACATTGAGAATAATTGTAGCCATTCACAATTGTAAATTTTATAAAAAATAGTTGCATTCTAATAGTTTTAACATTTCGAAAATTTATAGCCAAGTGCATTAAAAAACGGTTTTATGACTTTAACAATATTAATATAGACTTGCATTCAATATTGATAATATAAAAATAAGGAAAACATTTTTTTTTTTTTTGCTGGTTTTCAAGTCTTCAAAACTTTAAAGATAATATATTTTTCACTTATTGATTAAATAAGATATGGAAATTAATCGAAAAATATTATTGTAAGTTAGATAAAGTGAATTTTATCGATGTCGGTAATTAACCTACTAAAAAAATAGGACAAATTCCAAAGAATTATCTTTTAAGATTTTTTGCAAAAAAAATTTAAAGTTACTTAGTATTTAATGTAATATTTAAAGTTATTAATTAATTAGTATTACTATTAATAACCTATTAAACTGTTAAAGACGCACCTCAAAAAGTAAGGAGTAATTTCAGTAAATTGAAAAAATACGTTCTTTTAACAATCAAACAAATTGTAACAAAAACTAAGAGTAAAAAAAACCTTTTTACTTAAAAAAAAGTAATCCTAGAAATCTCTGGTAATCCTTCGTACATTTTTAATAATAATAATCCTTCTTGAATCCTTAATAATCCTGTTCTTTCTACAAATTAAATTTTTATTTAACTTTGACATTCGTTTATCCAAGATTAATAAATAGAAGCAGAAAACACGCTGAAAAAAAAATTATTTGATTCAAATAAAGAAACAAACAATTATTACTAAGTAATTGTTAATAAAAAATGTTTGATGCAAATAAATAAAAATAAATGAAAAATAAGTCTTATTTTTCATTTATTTTTATTTATTTGTATCAAACATTTTTTATTAAAATCAAATTTTTTTTTCAAATACTGAAATTATTGGTTCAAATCAAATACAATTTAGTTGATTTAAATAAAATTTATTTAATTTAAGTAAATATTTATTTTAATTCAGTAAATAGTTATTTAAATTAAGTAAACATTGAACAATTGGCCAGTAATCGGTTGTTTGAATCAAATAACATTTCTTCAGTGCAATGATTATAGTTGTCGATTTTTAAAAACAAAATTATTTGATTCAAATAATCGATTATATAGGTATTTATTGTCAAATAAATTTTATTTTAGTCAAATAAATTGTATTTGAATCAGTAATTTCAGTATTTGAGGCAAATACCATTTAATTGACCTAAATAAAAATTAATTGATTCAAGTAAATATTTATTTGATAATTGACAAGTAATAATTTATTTGAATCAAATAAATTATTATGTTTCAATGTACAAAAAAATATTTTTTTTCTATTTAATAAAAATAAAAATAATAATAAAACAATATCAAAGAGAACATAAATGACGATGACAACAGTAATTACTTATATTTGCAAATACTTTATTTTTTTATTAATTTCATTGTTAAGAAAATGTTAAATTTTAATTTTAAAAATTTTAAGAGGTAAAAATACAAGAAATTACGTATGGTTTTTAAGGGGGAAGGAAGGGGTGACTCCATTTATTCCTTATGACCAGCAAAAAAATGATCCTAATTTATGTTTTTTATTTTCATTTCTCTTTTACATAAGAGAAAAGGAGGGGGAGTTAAATTATCAAAAAAAAAATCCTTACGTAATAATTGTACACAGCCCCGATTTTAAATATTGAAAAAATTAACCAAATTTTTAATTTTCTTTATTTTCTATAGACGTTGGTTGGCTAAAGAAAAATCCTTAAAAGAAACTATCCAACTCCTAAAACGTAAAACGTAATTTTTTTAATTTATAAATATTTGATGTAACAAAGCAATTGAAAATATAATTTGCAAAAAATTTACATTTATTTCAATATCTTCAATGATTTTCATAAATATAATTGAATATCAATTTTGAAATTGAGCTTTCAATAAGAATTTCGCTCATTTAATTTCTTAGATAATTTACAAATTAATCTCTATTCTTGTTTGCTATTTAAATTTGAAAGTGACAGATCTGTTTTTCCAGTGACGTTTTCATAATAATTATCATATAAAAAAAATTTGTAAATTTGAAAATTTTTTTAAATAGAATATTTCAAAAAATAAATAAAAAGAAGCATTCACATGTTCTACAATAATGTGCATAATCCTTTTAAAAAAATGCAAAATTGAATTATCTGTAATAAAAAAAAGAAATAAATTGAAAAAAGTTAATAAAAAAAAAAGAAATTCGAAGAAATTATAAATGTTTAATAACAATTTCCATAATTTAAATCTAACTTTTAGAAAATTATATTACTTATTCAAAATAATTAACAAAATTTTTCTTTATTTTTAAAATAAATTTTAGAAATTAATAATAGTAATATAAAATATAAATATAATTATATTATTAACTGTAGGTAATAATAATTTCTAAATTTTATATAAATAAAGTTCTAGGTTAAAACTGTTTATCCTTAAAAAGGAGAAATACGTTTTTAAAATAGTATACTTCAAATTTTAATTAATTTTAATTTTAATGTTACCTACTGATTAATGTTTTAATTTCTTGTTAATTTAACAACCCGAATAAATAAAATATGGAAAATTTAAAAAATGATTTCGAGAAACACGTTATCTCGAGATGGATCTTAGTGTCATTATTGTTACTGTTTTTATTGATAATAAAATTACAAATATTAATCATAATAATACTGACAAATTCCTATTAATAAATTGACCACGATACCTACTTCAATTTTTTTTATTAAAATCCCCATGATACAATTTTTAATACAGTCTCTATATATCAAACATTAAAAATCATTAATTGACAAAACAATAACAATTCAACCTGAATATTTATATAGCGATATTTATTTTAAAGGACTTTCTAGTACTAAAAAAACCATGAACACGTCCTTCGTAATTTATACAATAAAAATAGAAAAGAAAATGACAATGAAAAACAAAATGTGTACATCAGAATAATTTTGTTAAAAAAAATACCCTGACAAATAAATAAAGGAAGGAACCTAATTACTTTTAGAAATAGTTGTAATTCCAATGAATTTTAAACAACAGCCAATAGCAGAGGAGTTGTTATCAATTCGCGAAGCATATAAATGAGCCATTCTGTCCAGCCGTTGTCATATTGAGTGCGGAAAGGCCATCAGTAGCTATAAGCGCGTTACGCGAGTCGTTCTTAAATTAAGAATCGACAATTTAAATTTTAATTCTATCTAGTCAAAATTTTTAAATTAAATAACAATAATTTATTGCAAAACAGGTCATTGACCTGTAATTGAATTCGCGTATCCGTTAAATGAATTTAAAACATTAGATAATTAAAAAATTAGATAATAAAAATGACTAGTCTACATAAATATTTCAACCAAAATCCTCAAAAAAATGGAGCAATTTTTTTCCTTATTTTTTCTCTACTCTTCACTGAAATTAGTGCCTTTAGTCTCAGTGGTTCAAAACTAAATATCAAGGATCATTGCGATAGGTGAGTTATTTTTCTACAATTCAGAATCACCAAAAAAATCATCAACTTCATTTATATCTTAAATTGACAAAATAATTGATATTTTAATATTAATTAATATTAATTAATATTAATTTAATTATAAATTTTATTCATTTAATATTAATTAATTAAAATTTTATTAAAAACTCAATAACAATGTAAAAATTATTAAAAAACTATTTAATAAATATATATTCTGTTCAACTATAATATTAGTAATTATACTAAAAAAATTTATTTATCCCAAATAATCAAATACTTGTCTATTACCAAGTAAATATTTACTTGAATCAAATAATTTTTATTTAAGTCAATTAAATGGTATCCGCTTCGAATACAAACAATATTGGTTCAAATTCTATTTCTTTGATTTAAACAAAAATTATTTGATTCAAGTAAATATTTATATTCTGATAAACAATCGATTATTTGAGTAAAATAAATTTTTTTCAGTGATTTTTTTTGTTTAAGAGAAAAACTATTTAATACTTATTTCCTAATTAATAAAAACAAATTTCATTAATTAGATAACAAAATAAAAAGTATGAAAAAAATATGCTAATTTAATTAATTTGTTAATTAATTGTCAATTTAAGATAAATCGAAATGCAAAACTACATCAATGTCAATGTTCTCTTGTAGAAATGTTTGTTTAAGCTAAAAAAAATTACACGATCGTAATATCAGCTGAGCGCAGAACATTATGCAAATGAGTTATTAAAATGAATCAATGTGAATGACAGAAATATCTGTACACTTGGGTGTGAAATAGTAATTGATATGTACTATACATTTCCTTGGTATATATGTACATGAAAACGTGTTTGATAAACGGGATTTTTTTCAAAGTCATACCATACATAAAAATAGTTGAGAAATTTTTATTACTTGTCAACTTTATTATTATGCTATTTCTGATAATTTTTTTTTATTCAGAACTGCAACTACATTGAAAAAAACTAATAAAAAAAATAAGTAACTATAATTAATCTATTAAAATTTCCAATTAACTCTGATAAAAAAATTATTTATTGTAATCCAAGAAAATTGTAATCTATCTTAATATGAAAAGAAATTAATTATCAAATAATTTTGGAGCATTGAATAAAAATTACACAAGTAATTTACTGCGTAAATCAGAAATATTATTTCCATTTCTATTTTAAACGTGTGTTTGCTTACGAAACGAATTCTCAAATTGTCAGCAAAATTAAACATTGGTGTTAAAACCACCAAGAAACTGTGTGATTTCGCTAAAATGATTTTTAAACGAACATTTTATTTTTAATTATAATTTTCTGATATAAAAAAAAAAATTAACATTTTCTTTAGCGAAAAATTCCAACATGTAATAAAACGGGTTTGTTTCATTTTAATGAGATACGAATAGGACAGAAATTTGGATAATATAATAAATGAAGCAGGGATAAATTTTTACATTCGAATATAATGAAAAACTAAATTGTCATTTAATGTATACAAATGAAAATTAATTTCAATTAAATTCCTAACTAATTATCAAAAAACTACACTAATTGTACAGCATTCCAAAAATTCCAACAAATTACTGAAACGAATAAAATAAATGATGAAAGGAAAATAAAGTTTAACTCTTTAATTACAAATTTGTATAATTAAATTACAATTTTTCATTGAATCGAAATGAAAAAGGGGTTATTGTGAAAGAAAACGATATTGTAAATTTAATAGAAGAAAATGATCAATTTTCCAGAATGTTATTTTTTCCAGTCGTGATAATAAATTCGATACTATCAGAGGCTTAAGAAACTTCATTTTCTTCTAAAAGTTTGCAAACTAAGATTTTAACCAATGAACTTTATGGACACAAATAATAATTGCCCTGAACTGAAAACTTATACAACGATAAGAAAATTGTATACACATAATTTTGTGCACCACTTTGTGAGCAGTAACTAGCACGCTATCTTAAAAAACTATACAGCATGTCACGTTTTTAAAAGACACTTAATTTACATTTTAACAAGCGAACTTTAATAATATCTAATCGACTTCTCACTTTTGGCATAAATTATACCGAAAGTAATCAAACGTTCTCCATTTCTTTTATAAGCAACTTATTCCTAATGTACACAAAATTGCAATAATATTATCTTAATACTGAAGCAAAATTGCATATTAATATTGTCACAATACTCAGAGAATATTGAATCAAAAAAATTTTAAATTTATATTTATAATAATGTACTCTCCCCTATCCTATTAATTCAACATTGCTATGCAATATTGCAGTTAATTATTTAAAAATTCCATACTGAGTAACGCTAACATTTTTTAATCAATTTTTATTAGAAAATTTTCCGAGAATTCAATTATTTAAATAGAAAGATAAATAATTTATTAAATAATTGAATATTTCTTAAAATTGAAGTTTTATGAAGAATTTTATCAAAATTTTTTAAAATAATTGAATTCTTTTGGTGAATTTAAAAAGTAATTTTACGAATAAATGCAATTTTCTATCAGTTTATTTTAAATTATATAAAAAATAATTTGAATTCTGCGATAAGTTTTCTTATTTATGAAAATAAGTAATTTCTTGTGAAGAATTTTATTCAAATTTTTTAAATAATTAAATTTCTCAAAATTTTTTTAAACTTTTTGAAAATAATTAAATTCTATCGAGAAATTTCATTAAAAAATTGAAAATAATTGAAATCTAACGAAGAATTTTATTAAAATTTTTTTTAAATAATTGAATTTCTGTGAAAAATTTTATTTATAAAAATAATTGAATTCTTGGGAAGAATTTTATTAAAATTTCTTAAATAATTTAATTGCTTGGAAGAATTTTATTTTTTACGAAAATAATTGAACTGTTTCAAAGATTTTTAGAAACATTTTTGACAATAATATTGTACTCCTAGGACTAGTGTTAAATATTTTACGAAAATAATTGTATTCTATGATCAATTTTATTATAATTTTTTAAATTTATAAAGCATTTTAAGAAAACTTTTTTTAATAATTAAATTCTCGAGAAAAATATTATTATTTATGAAAATAATTGAATTCTTAAGAAGAATTGTATAAAAATAATTGAATTGTATAGGAAAATTTTATTAAAATTGCAATTTTATTAACTAAATCTTGTAAAGAATTTTGTCAAAATTTTTTTTAAATAATAGAATTTTAAAAAGAATTTTATTTAAATTTTTCGAAATAATTGAATTGTTGCGAAGTTTATAAAAAATTGGTAAGTAATTGCATTCCTTTGAAATTTTTATTAAAATTCGGTTTAAATAATTGAATTCTTTTGGAAAACTTTATTAAAATCGATATTAAAAATAATTGAAATGAGGAAAATTTTTGATAATTGATATTTTGCCAAGAATTTTATTAAAATTTTTGAAAATAATTAAATTTCAGAGAAGAGTTTTATTATTTATAAAGATAATTGAAATTTTGACGAGAATTTTTAAAATTTTTTGAACATAATTGAATTTAAGTGAAGAAGTTTATCACTTTTGAAAATAATTGAATTTCTGTAATCAGTTGTTCTTATAATTCCTATTTAAAATTTTTAATTCATTAAAAATTGATATTTTCTAAAATCTTAAATTGAAACCTTTGAAGTTTATCTATTTATGAAGATTGTAAACGCAACTCTCTTGAAATCCAATTAATTTTGAAATTTTTAAGTAAAATTATTCATTAAATAATTTATAAGTAATAATTTTATGATAGATTTTCAAGAATTAAGTTATTTAAAAAGAAATTATTGTCAAAAATAAAAAAAATTGAAGGTTTTGTATTAGAATTCTTGTCAATTTCATAGTTTCTTATAAATTCTGAAAATTTAATATTTTCCAGTACTTTTAATAAAAAATCCCTGATTTTTCTGAACAATTCTAATTTCCCTGACTTTTCCTTGAATTCCCTAACTTCCTTGACCTTTGGCAACCCTGTTAAAATTTCTTCCCACGCAGCATCTGAATCTCTAGCAATATTGAAAATATTTCAATATTTCTTCAATTTTAAAATCTTAAATACAAAGGTGATTTCAAAAATTACTTTTTTTTTACCAAAATTTAATCAAAATAATAAGATTTTTTGACATTAAATTTTGGTGTGACTGCTTTCTAAAGATAATTGCAGGCATTGTTGCAATTAACACCTACTTTCGAGACGTGAAAACCGAAACAATGCATTTTCAGAAGTTAGCGTGAAAACTTTAATTTTGCACGTTTTACTTAATTTCGTCTTTTCTATGGTGCATTTCTCATGCAGCGACAGCTTATTTCTGCCGGCGGCGCTATATTATGTACCGAGGTAGACTATATTCCTCTCTTTCAACGAAACTTCAACCTCTCTCGAGTTTGTGGGTCTGGCCATTGTTTTGGTCTCCACTTTTCATCAACCGCGGGTGTTCCCATCGTTGAACAGAAAGTGCAGAAAAGACTATACACAATCAGACCCATATACATGAGCTTTTCTATATATTGCTTCCATAATTCATTATCACCTGTTTCTCTTTAATTTCTTCTTTTACTTTTTTTTATATACAAATAATAAAACTTCCCCCTTCCTCTATAATCATTTGCACATGATATTTCTTTACGAATATTTTTTCCACTCTTTAATTTACCAAAAAAAGTAACCAAGCATTTTTTACTCGAACTTTATAACAAAATATATAACCTCTAACATTATAAAGATATGTGTACCAATATGACGTCACAGTGTTCTAAAATTGACGTCATAACGATTCAAATGCCCTTAAGAGAAACAAACAAAAATTACGATTAAAATCATAATTGTAAATTTTTGTTGAAACAGTATATTAAAAATGGAATATTTTTGGTATCTTTGCAAAAAATTTCTTTTCTATTTAAATCCGCATTTACTACCAAAGTTCAAATTTTTATGATTCATAAAATTAATATCTTTTCTAAAGTTTTATCATAATTTGAATTCAGTACTGGAATGCAGTGAATTAA